AGCATGAAACGACCCCGAATAAGATGCAATGGATGAGGAGTTGAGAGTGGTGGTGCTCCAAGTGGTGACAAGGGTGTCAATGTCAAAGACGAAGAGAGAAAAAGCATAGGCGATGCCCATAGCGAAGAGGGCGATGCTTGTGGCGCTTGTGACGCCATAGGAGGTAGGGGCACCAACAGCATTGAATCAATGGGCGAGATAGGGGGGCAGCCTTGACGACGCAGGAGATCTAGTGGGCGGCACCTTTGGCATGGGTTCTGGAGGGATGGTGGCACTGGGTCCCTCGTTGATGGCACCAGGGGCATGGGAAGAGGCCAGGTGTAGTGACGCCCGTCACACACTGGGTAAGACGTTCGGTGGCGCCAAGCAGGAGCCCATCTGGGCAATGGCAGCTTGTTGGCCTAGGCGCTGGCGCTGGGGTGTTGAGGCGCTGGCATTGACGCACTGAGGCACTAGCGCTGGGGCAATGAGGCGTAGGGCATTAGGTTGTTGGCACAGGGCATTGGGTTGTTGCCGCTAGGTAGGCAACATGCGACGCCTTAAAGGCACCAGGCTAAGCACTGGAGAGGCAGCAGGCGACGCCAGACAGGCTATAGGTGACGCCTTGCAAGCAGCAGACAATGCCTCGTAAGCACAGACGCCAAGCTAGGCATTGGGCATGGACCCCACAGATATAGGCAACACCTTGGAGTAGGAGGTGTCGCCAAGGAAGCCTAGGCATAGTCAGGAGAGGGGAGCGGTGCTGGGTTGGCTGGAGTATCAGAAATCATAAAAAGACGACAAAACTTTGAATGACCATAACTTTGCGCTCAATTGTCCGTTTGAGGCGATTGTTTTTCTCAATTTGGGTATTTTTTTCAAGATCTATGACATACAAATTGCCAAGGGGGGTTTGGTCAAAAACATTTCCCAAAAAATGCTTCTATCTCTCTGAATTTTAGTTTTAATTACAAATTAGTGAAATCAATGGTGGTGGGAAGTTGCGTTTTGGCAAGCAGCTATCAGGCATTCATGGGCGATGGATTTGCATTCTTGGTTTTTGCAAGAGAGGGAGACTATGATGGCTTTCAGCTGGGTAAGAGGTGAACCCGTTTTCTTCAATCCTGCTTTCTCCTTAATATTTTCTCGATGCTGGTTCTTTATATTGACCTTATATCTAATTACAGTCGCCCTGTTGATAGGGTAATGGTGGAGACTCTCTCTACTTTTAGGGTGATATCTTTCCCTCCTTCCAAGAGGGTGAGGTTTGATACCCCCAATGCTTCTCGATCAAGGTATAATGGCTAGTCTTCTTCCTAGGAGATGGGACCCGGTGGTGCTCCCACTCCTTCCGAGACTGTAACTCCTATTTGAACCAGAGCTAGCCCTTGTACCGTTGTAAGAATTGAGACTTTAGTATGGTCTTCTACGAAGATTGTAGCTCCACATAGCTGTCTTGTTTCTAGTAGTGGCTCGGTGTGTATGCTTTGACTCAACTTTGGTCAAGGAGCGACTTTGGAGGTCTGTGACTCCCGGGGATATTAGAGAGGTTGGATCTCAAGATACCGAGATGGAGGAGTCTTCCATGGTATGCTTTTCTTTCACCTTTGATTTTGTACATCCCTACTTTTCTTTTTGTTCTGCTTTTTGAATGCTTGTAGGTGGCTCAAGAGAGAGTAACACCTCTTGAGGCCAAGTTTTTGGTGACTCTTAAGAGAGGCGCAAACTTGGAGATTGAGGCTACTTGGGAGCAGAGGTAGCATTAGGTTGAGCTTCTTGACAACTCGTGAGAGAGTGTGAAGCTGAAGATATAGGCTGCTTCGGAGCAGAGGTAGACTTAGGTCGAGCTTCTTCGCAACTTGCAAGAGAGTGGGAAGTTGAAGATATATGCTACTTTAGAGTAGGGGGTAGAGTTAGGTCGAGCTTCTTCGTAACTCGTGAGAGAGTGCGAAGCTAGAGATATAGGCTGCTTGGGAGCAGTGGTAGACTTAGGTCGAGCTTCTTGGCAACACGCGAGAGAGTGCGAAGTTGGAGATATAGGCTGCTTGGGAGCAGAGGCAGAATTAAGCCTAGTTTCTTGGCGACTCGTAAGAGAGCGCGAAGCTGGAGATATGGGCTTCTTGGGAGCAGAGGTAGAATTAGACCAAGCTTCTTGGCGACTCAAGAGAGAGCGCGAAGCTGGATACTAATAAGGTGACTGTCTGTACGAGAACAGAGTTAAAGCTGCTAGCGTCCCATGAGAGGCCCGCCGAAGCTAAGGCCAAGCTACTTATATCTCAGGAAAGGGTTGCCTTAGCAGAGGCTCATTCCTTGGAGATGAGGAGGGAGACTGCTGAGAGGGCACTGCAAACGCCTTTACTGATGCTTATGAAGGGCTTTGGCAATTTTTCCTGTTATTGATTTCTTTGGCTTCTTCTCGTATGAGACACCAGGGGTAGTTCGTGATGGGAAAAGTTTTGATGATAGTGGCTCGAGCAGCAGTGACTGATCATCGGAAGTGTGCGAGGATAAATCCACATTAAAGGCCACCACCTTTTTACGGACAAAGATGATGGCGGAGAAGCTCCAGTGCTTCTTGGTCAAGGTTCGATGGCTAGTTTGCTTCCCGAGAAATGGGACCTAGTGGTGCCCCCACTCCTTTCCAGACTGTAACTCCTATGTGTACAAGAGCTAGCTCATGTACCGTTGTAGGAGTTGAGACTTCAGTATGGTCTTCTATAGAGATTGTAGCTGCACTTAGCTATCTTGTTTCTAGTAGTGGCTCGGTGTGCATGCTTTGACTTGACTTTGGTCAAGGAACGAATTTGGAGGTCTGTGACTCTCGGGGATATCAGAGAGGTTGGATCTCAAGATACCGCGATGGAGGAGTCTTCCATGATATGCCTTTCTTTCACCTTTGATTTTGTACTCGCCTACTTTCCTTTTTCTTATGCTTTTTGAATACTTGTAGGTGGCACATAAGAGAGTAATACCTCTTGAGGCCAAGCTTTTGACGACTCTTAAGAGAGGCGTGAAGCTGGAGATTGAGGCTGCTTGGGAGCAAAGGTAGAATTAGGTTGAGCTTCTTAACAACTCGCGAGAGAGTGCGAAGTTGGAGATATAGGCTGCTTGGGAGTAGAGGTAGACATAGGTTGAGCTTCTTGACAACTCGTGAGAGAGTGTGAAACTGGAGATATAGGCTGCTTGGGAGCAGAGGTAGACTTAGGCCGAGCTTTTCGTAACTCGCGAGAGAGTGGGAAGCTGAAGATATAGGCTGGTTAAGAGTAGAGGTAGACTTAGGCTAAACTTCTTCACAACTCGCAAGAGAGTGCGAAGCTGGAGATATAGGCTGCTTGGGAGGAGTGGTAGACTTAGGTCGAGCTTCTTGGCAACACGCGAGAGAGTGCAAAGTTAGAGATATAGGTTACTTGGGAGCAAAGATAGAATTAGGTTGAGCTTCTTGGCGACTCGCGAAAGAGCGCAAAGCTAGAGATATAGGCTGCTTGGGAGCAGAGGTAGAATTAGGCCGAGCTTCTTGGCAACTCAAGAGAGAGCGTGAAGCTGGATATTAATAAGGTGACTGTCTGTACGAGAACAGAGTTAAAACTACAAGCGTCTCGTTAGAGGCCCACCGGAGCTAAGGCCAAGCTACTTATAGCTCAAGAGAGGGCTGTCGTGGCAGAGGCTCATTTTTTGGAGATGAGGAGGGAGGCTGCTGAGAGGGCACTGCAAATGTCTTTACTGATGGTTATGAAGGGCTTTGGCAGCTTTTACTGTTATTGATTTCTTTGGCTTCGTCTCGTATGAGACACCAGGGGTAGTTGGTGACGGGGAAAGTTTTGATGATAATGGCTCGAGGAATAGTGACTGATCGTCGGGAATGTGCGGGGATAAATCCACGCTAAGGGCCACCACCCTTTTTACGGACAGAGATGATGGCGGAGAAGCCCCAGTGCTTCTTGGTCAAGGTTTGATGGCTAGTTTGTTTCCCGGGAGATAGGACCTAGTGGTGCCCCCACTCCTTCCCAGACTGTAACTCCTTTGTGTACTAGAGCTAGCTCATGTACCGTTGTAGGAGTTGAGACTTCAGTACGGTCTTCTACAGAGATTGTAGCTTCACATAGTTGTCTTATTTCTAGTGTGGCTCGGTGTACATGCTTTGACTCGACTTCAGTCAACGAACGGCTTTGGAGGTTTGTGACTCCCAGGGATATCAAAGAGGTTGGATCTTGAGATACTGCGATGGAGGAGTCTTCCATTGTATGCCTTTCTTTCACCTTTGATTTTGTACTCGCCTACTTTCTTTTTTTTATGCTTTTTGAATGTTTGTAAGTGGCTTATGAGAGAGTAACACCTCTTGAGGCCAAGCTTTTGACGACTCTTAAGAGAGGCGCGAAGCTGGAGGAGAAGAGGTAGTATTAGGCTGAGCTTTTTGACAACTCACGAGAGAGTGCAAAGCTGGAGATATAGGCTGCTTGGGAGCAGATGTAGACTTAAGCTGAGCTTCTTTGCAACTCGTAAGAAAGTGCAAAGGTGGAGATATAGGCTGCTTGGGAGCAGAGGTAGTCTTAAGCCGAGCTTCTTGGCAACTAGCGAGATAGTGCGAAGCTGGAGATATAGGTTGCTCGGGAGCAGAGGTAGAATTAGGCTGAGTTTCTTAGCGACTCGCGAGAGAGCGTAAAGCTGGATACTGATAAGGTAACTGTCTGTACAAGAACAGAGTAAGAGCTACAAGTGCTCCACGAGAGAGCTATCGAAGCTGAGGTCAAGCTATGTATAGCTTGGGAAAGGGCTGTCGTGGCAAAGGCTCATTCCTTAAAGATGGGGAGTGAGGCTGCTGAGAGGGCACTACAAACACCTATAATGATGGTTATGAAGGGCTTTGACAGCTTTTCCTACTATTGATTTCTTTGGTTTTGTCTCGTATGAGACACCAAGGGGTAGTTAGTGACGAGAAACATCTTGATAATAGAGGCTCAGAGAGCAGTGACTAATCTGTGGGAGTGTGCAGGGTTAAATCCATGGTAAGGGCCACCACCTTTTTATGGACAGAGATGATGGCGGAGAAGCTTTGGTGAACCCAAGTAAAGCTTGGCGCCGAACAGGGATGACACCAGGACGAAAGGCATGGCAACGCTAGGCATGATGGCCAGGCCAGACACAGGGTTGGCAGGCGATGGAGGCGAGGCAACGATGCTAGGCAACTGGTTGGGCACCGCTAGGGCACTATTGGCGACGCTTGGGCATTGCTGGAGTGCTATTGGCGTTCCTGAGCTACTGTGAACGACGCTAGAGGTTGTTATGGGCGCCGCCAAGAGGTTGGAAGCACTTAGGCATTGGGTAGAGACGAGGGCGTAGGTGAGGACGCTGATGCCCATGCAGGGGAGCAGTTGATGCTACACAGGGCTATAGGACACATTAAGCGACGCTAGCTAAATGACGCCAGGTTGGCTATGCGTGCAGGAATTGGGTAGCTCGTTGCTAGTTTTGGGTGTCAGCACCAGGCTTTGGCTATGGTGTGTGACGCCTAAAGGCTACTTTGGTAGGCGACGCCTTGAGGTTTGTTGTGGGTGGTGCCTCTCTACTGCTTTGCTAAAGGTCAATAACTGACCTCTATCTCACATGAAGTATGATGATTGTTGTCTTTTTGGTCTACCTTCTTGTTAGGTCATGTTCTGACTTTTATAAAATTGTTTACAAACTTTATGAAATGAAAGCAAGATAGTTATGGACACAATAATATTCGTAAAATTTAATTTCATAAAATAATAAATAACAAAATAAATCAACTGAAAAATAATGGATTGATAAAATCTTCAGGTGTTCGGTGTCCCATAGGTGGGCCAAGACTTTCCTGGAGGAGTTAGAGTCGCCTTCTCCTCCTAGCCCTCAAGAGATTGTCTGGATTTCTCCAAGGGGTTGTTGGCGTTCTCTGTTGTCCTGGCCCTAGTTAGGTGGTGGGGCTTGTCTTTTGCCAGCAATGTACTGCCTTAACTGGTCATGATGTATAAGCTCCTCAATATGCCTTTTAAGATCAAAGTAGTCATCAGTATCATGGTCGTAGTCATGGTGGAAAAAACAGTACTTTGTTCGGACTCCTACGGTTTGGGGTGGACTTCATTTTTCCGAGCCAGCGGAGCATGGGGTCATCCTGTATGTGGAACAGGATATGTTCCACCGAGTTGTTGAATGGCAAGAAGGGTTGTCATTCTCTCTAGGATACTGGACCGAGACGACCTTTGACAAAAACTTTCTCGGTTCTCTGTCTCTTATTCTCTACCTCCCTTTTGTCTTTGCGATAGTCCTTTTTTTTCTCACCTCCTCGGGAGGACTCACCTCGATGGGCCTTGGTGATGTCCTCGACATTCATGTAATTTTGGGCCCTTGACAATAGCTTCGGCATGCTGGAGACAACTTTTTGAGAACGAAGAACAAAATGCTGGAGTAGCGCAAACCAGCAATAAAGGCGGCCAAGGCTACCTTATCGTTTGACTTCTCAATTTGGAGAGCTTCCTTGTTGAAACGAGTGAGGTAGCTCCTAAAGCTTTCATCCCGATTCTATTTGATGGTGAGCAGGTTTGTAACAGACTTCTGATGTCGACATCCTCCAATGGTGTGGGAGACGAAAGATTTGCTCAACTCCGTAAAGGAATAGATAAAAGAGGGTTTGATCTTTGCAAACCATTGTCTAGCAGACCCCTTCAGAGTAGTGAGGAAGGCTCTAAACATGATCGTATCAGGCACGTTGTGGAGTTACATCAGAGACTTATAGGTGTCGAGGTGATGCAGAAGGTCCTTGGTACCGTCGAAGATCTTGATAGTAGGCATCTTGAACTTCGAGGGTAGGGTTAATTGACAATATCTACAACGAATGTGGTATTAGTGCGCCTTACCAAGTAATCCACTGTCTTGGGTGTCTGTGCGCTGATGGCGTTGAGGGCATCACCGAGTTGGTTTTGTACCTCTTTGATCTTCTCGTTCCATTAGTTAGGGACATCCTCTGGTGGATTATTGTAAAGGGTTTCATGATCGGCATATTGGCTTTCTCCCTCATCCTCCTATGCAGATACATGAGAAGTGGGAACATGTGAGCTTCCTACGTGTTGAGGAAGGACTCTTGGGCGAGGGGTGCCTGGGCGCTGTCCCGAACCATTCTATCGCGAGGCTGCACAATGGGGGACGGCTTGGCACCCAGAGTGGGGAGGTTGTTGTGTTTCTCCCATTGGAGGGAGTGGTGCTCCTACTACGGGCTAAGGAGCGACACCTCCTTGGGCGAATATCAACTGAACGATTTGCTGGTTCTAGTTTACCAACAGTTGCATGGTCTGTAAAAGCTGTTGTTGTTGCCCAACGACGGGAGTCGTCGTAGCGGATGGTTCCGAGGGTGCGAGGGGAGGCGGAGCCTCCTCCCGGTGGGCCAAGTTGTTGTCTCCCGGTTGTTGGCTCATCAACCTGGTCATGATTTCCATGGAATAGCAAGGTAGTAGAAAACCTAGTCATTTCCCATAGATGACGTCAAACTAATGATGCACAAATTGGTCTCGTGTAAGATCAACAGTCGAGTATGTGAAGAGGTGTAATTAATGGATAGTAAATAAAACAATCAATGGCAAAACAGTAAATATGAAATTAATACATAGATATATAGTGATTCGGTCCAGGTGACCTACTCCACTCTCAGGAAATAACAGTTGTGGCCTGGAGCCTTTATTGATGAATAAAGTAACAGTGAGAGAACTCCGAGAGAGTATGCTCCAGGAGAGTTAAACTAGTTAGAAGAGAGAAGTTATGTGTGTAGGGAGGTGTAGAAAGGCAAAACCCAATATGTAGAGATATGTCTCTCTATGTGGAGAGAGCTTACAATATATAGGTTTGGTGAGGTAGTGACTTGAGTCTGAGGGCACTACTTCCTGGGGGAGAATAGTTACAAAAGGTAAGTACAATTAAGGTAGAATTGATCTTCATGAGTGCGTATCCTGATGATCTCTCTCCCACGCGCCCATTCATTCGTGGACTCCTTGGATCTTGCACTGGATCAGATTGAAGAACTGGACTTAGGCTGCCTGGTAGCTGATTTGGGCTAACTTGACTTATTGGGCCTGGCCTAGTTGGATTTGGGCTCGTCACAATAAAATATGAATTTTAGTTTTAAAATTCAAAATATTTGATATTCTATCTTTTATTATAATATTTTTTTATCTAAGTATAACATTATAAACTTGAGGGGTTTAAATATTACACGCCTACAAACTTCAGAGAGTCTGGATATAATTTACTAATAGATATACTAACGGACATTTGACGGCAGAAGTCTAAGTGCTACGTGCATACAAACCTCAAGGGTCTGCGTGTAATATTTTAAATGTCAGGAGTCTAAGTTATTAAATGATAAATTTCAGGAAGTTTGAATGTAATTTTTTGTTTTAATTATAATAACTCAACCCAGATATTTTAAAAAAAAAATGTGCAGTACACATTAGTGTTTAATATATTGGTGCCGACAATATGCTGAGTTATGACTTATGACCTAAATCACATAATTCGTGTAGATAGCTCAATGAATTAGCGTTTGGAGCGGAAAATCGCAAATCCAAAGCAAATTCAGGCTAAATCTGCAAATTCAAAATTTAGAATTCGCATATCCGCCACTTTCAGAGTTAACTCCACAAATACTAAAAATTTTAGAAGCTGACTCCATAAATACTAAAAGCTTTGAGACTACTTATTGGGTCAATCCTTGGGCCAAGGCTTTCTAATAAACTATTGAACTTAGCCTCATAGTTGGGGCCCAATCTCCAGTTTAGAGCAGTGAGACCGAATGCCACTTTGTGTTGACGTGGGATTGCTTTTTTTCTTTCATATTCACCATATTATTTTATGTGGTTTTCAAATGTAAAATTAATTATTAATAAAATTTAAATAGTACATCATATATTTTTAAATATAATTTAACTTTTAAAATGTATTTTAAATAATTTTTATATATGTAAATATATGTATATTTATATAATATGACGTTTTCAAGGCACTCTCACTCTCATAATTTTTTTATGTTTTGTGCTATTGCACTCTTGCATCCGCACCCGCACCTACTCTATGTGATCTAGCTTATGACCCTACGGAGTTGTTGAATCCCATTCCATTGATGAACTGTTGGGCCATTTGATTTTTTTTGAGAGAGCTATATATGGTGGCAGAAAATTTCAAAGTAGTGGTAATCTATAATATAAAATAGGACAGACTTCAACAAGTTTATTCGACAGTTTCAAGTAGACTTATCCATTAGCCAGCAACATCCTTCTTAAAACTATTCACGTTACACCGTGTCTTTAAACACGAGTTATCCCTAATATTATCATAATTGAAGATCATGGCCACTAGCCTCAGCCAGTGGACCACCATTAATCCTCTCTTCTCTGCCATCATCAAAATACAAATTCAAAATTTTTTATTAGGGTGAATTGCAAATCACACTTTTTATGGCCCGTTTGGTAGGGTGGATGAAAAAATAGAAAAATAAAAAGTTAGAGTAATACATTTTCCATTCTTAAAGGGAAGAATCCTTCATTCCCTCATTTGTGTTTGAGTAGAGAGATGAAAAGTATGAATGATTGATAAATAATATATAATTTAACACAAATAATTAACTTTTCATACATATTTTTTTCAATTGTGGAGGAATTAATTTTACTGTGTTAGAAAGAAAGGTTAATTCATCTACTTTTCCATCATTCCTATTTTTCTTTCTTACAATACGTGATGTTTTATCTATTACTCTAACTTTTCATCATTCAATTTTTCCATCGTACCAAACGAAGTATTAAAGTATTGATGCGGTTCCTATTTAGTCATTGGTTTTTCGATTTGTACAATTTAGTCCATGGAGTTTCGATTTGTACAATTTAGTCCTTAAAATATTGATTGTGTTTTCTTGAGAGACTTTGGTCCATATTCATCACAAACGTCAAACGGTTAGTCAAATTCAGAGGGGCGTTTCATCTAACTCTCCCATTGTCTTCACCTATCACTCTAACTATAGTTATATCATTGACCCTTACCCTTAACTTATATATAGTGAGGTAGACATTGAGATTAACAGTGATGTGTATGCTGAAATTGATCCAAATTATTCAGACTTGGCTGATAGTGCTTATGATATGAGTGATGATTAATTGCATGTAAAAAGTGACACAGGTGTTGAGTGAGATGGCCTTGGACAAGCCTTGTGTAGGGGGGTATGGTTGTGTGAAGATATTTTGTAGGTGTATGCTTGTGTAAAAGCTTTGTGTGAAGTTACAGAAAGGCTATCAATTCGACTGAGTGGGAAACACAAGGGATCCACCACTTTAAACAAATAGGAATCTTGTTGAAGAATTTA